ACTTATAAAGAAAAACTTTTTTGTGATTTTTATTTGACTATTGCTCTATGAGTATAGTGAATTTGGCTGTAATTTATTGTTTAGGTTATTTTATGGTGGAGTTTTGGAAAAGGTTTATTTATAAACTTATTTGGGAAATAGGAAGGGTTGAAATTTATTAAGAAACATTTTCTTGTGATTTTTATTTGACTGTTGCTTTATGGGTATAGTGAATTTGGCTATAATTTATATTTTGGGTGATTTTATGGTGGAGTTTTGGAAAAAGTTTTTGTGAAGTTTATTTGCAGCTATAGGAAAGTGTAAAATTTGTTAATTTTATGGGTATTTATGTGGATAAAGAACAGAGAAACCAACGTTTCTTTTTTGAATTTTTATAGTCCTGTAATTTTTGCTTGTTTGATAGTTAAACGAAAAAGAAGAAATGAAATTTGAAATGAATTATATATTTGTTTAGAATCAATCCTTAAGGTAGTCTTATGGTGGTATCAAAAGTTTCAGGAAAATTTTCTTACAGGAAAACGACAGTTAAAATTGAAAATACATGATTCTCATTACAAACAGTCTCAAAATTACTATATCAATACCTAATTAATTTAACAAATGTTCGATTTTCAACAATAATGAAAGATTGTCCAGTACAAATAAATTTTATTTCCAAACTAATGTTAATACAACAATCATTACAATTTTAAAAATTAACAACATCAACAATCTTCTATTCAAAAATCCTTTTTGAATTTCAATTAATTTACAATGAACGTCACTCTCCTATCAACACAACCTCCTTCTTTCCCATTTTCCTATTCCTCTGTCTACAATCCTTATCTCCATCATTTCCAACTTCCCAAACTTTCATCTAACCTCAAAATTTACACTTTACCCACAATTCAAATAAATTTACCACGAAACTGTTAATATTTTACTCGCAATAAAAATAAATCGCACTATTACTCACATTTCCAAATAAACCAGCCCTAAATTCGGCGAAAAAAAATGGAAAAAACGCAGCTCTGTCGTGGCACGAAACCCGATAAATCAACGAAAACGGATTAATTAGCACTACGAGGTGCATAGACGAAAAAAGAGGAGCATCGGTATCCTCGTTACCGCGGAGAGGACAAGAAGCCGGTAATTAAGCGTGGCAAACACGTCTAACAACGTTCCGCCGTCGTAACGACGCGCGTTTCTCCTGTAAAGCGTCTTTTCAAGGCCGTGAAACGGCAAAAATAGATGATAAAAATCCGATAGCCCGTGTACGACATCATCATCCACCTGCCGTTAATTCGATTCCTCCCCGGGCGTTATTCGTGCACCGTTTGAAGCACCCGAGCTCCCTAGCAGCCATGAAAATTCTATTTCCACGATCCCGTTCTCATCCTGCTTCCACGGTCAATTTTTATCCGATATTTTTCACGTGCTTCATCCACGAGCCTTTATCTAGTCTCTCGGCGATTAATTTCGCAGAATTTTGAGGTTAGGTGCCGATTTACGCGCCGTGGAGTTCTAATTTGTCGCGAGACAAATGGGCGAACCTGATTGGTCCCTGTACGCGCGCCACCTGGTGAGAGGTCACGGAACGAGGCTAGTGCGTCGCAGAGGGCGCCACGCGTGCTAATGCTAGTGATAAGAATTTTTCATATAAGATTTGTTGGGTTTGTTCTTGTAGTATAGTGATTGAGAATGTGATTTAATATTCTGTGTGCTATGGTTTCTTATTGGAAATCTGTTACATGATAGCACAAATTTTATGAGAACTTTATGATGAATTTATATATAGCAATATATATATTATTACTATATAT